AAACCCTGCAAAAGCTTACCGTGAATGGGACGCATCAGTGGGTGTAAGCTCATTGCAGCAAAAGGCCACTGCACTTATAGCAAAAACCCTAAACCCTCATCCCTCCCCAAACCGTAAACCCTAAACCCTAAACCCTAAACCCCAAACCCTAAACCCTAAACCCTAAACCCTAAACCCTAAACCCTAAACCCTAAACCCTAAACCCTAAACCCTAAACCCTAAACCCTAGACCCTAAACCCTAAACCCTAAACCGTAAACCCCAGGGTTTTTGAAAGCTGCCCGGCGCAGGTGGCGATCCGCGAGAAGGCCCTGGAGCAGATGGAGAGGCAGCTCTACAAGGCCGCGGGTTTGGGGTTTGGGGTTTAGGGTTTGGGGTTTAGGGTTTAGGGTTTCGGGTTTGGGGTTTAGGGTTTAGGGTTTGGGGTTTAGGGTTTGGGGTTTCGGGGAACAGCATCACAAGCATGAAGTCGTTGGAGGGTAAGATTGCCAAGACGGTATTGCAATTCTATGTGCTGGAGTATCGCACGCTGAGCGCGGGCGAGGCAAAGTTTGAGAACGGCCAGTTCAAGGGTTTAGGGTTTAGGGTTTAGGGTCTAGGGTTAGGGTTTAGGGGGCGATATCGACAAGGAGTTGCAGAGGCGTGAGACTCTCAAGGAGCACATGGGCGCTCAGAACTTCAGTGAGTTATCCGAGCAGACCCCCGAGACCGTCAGCTGTTCCATTTGCTGAGGAGGCTTTCTTTCCATGCCCCGCTTCCGGGGGCACTCTGAGGCACTATGCCCCCGCTTCTTGGGGCACTATGCCCCCCAAACATCAAGAATAGCAGCGGCGGGTGCCAGAAACATGCTCTAAGTCCAAGTCCCGTGCGCTTTCTCAAGCCTGAACCGGTTAGGAAGTTTAGGGAGTTTATGGTTTGGGGTTTGGGGCTTAGGGCTCCAACCCTAAAAAACCATAAAAACTCGAAACCCTAAGACCTAAACCCTAAACCCCAAGTAAGCCACAAACCCTAAACCCTAAACCCTAAACCCCAAACCCCAAACCCCAAACCCTAAACCAAAAACCTAAACCCTAAACCCTAAACCCCAAACCCTAAACCCGAAACCCTAAACCCTAAACCCTAAGCCCTAAGCCCCAAGTAAGCCACTAAGATGCCCCCCAGGCGGTCCAGAGTCGGCTCCGCGAACGGGGCTACGACCTGCGGCTTCGCCTAATTTTCATAGGGTCTAGGGTCGAGGGTTTAGGGTTTAGGGTTTAGGGTTTAGGGTCTAGGGTCGAGGGTTTAGGGTTATTGTTTGGGATTTTTACTGGGCAAGGTCATTTTTTTTTACTGGGCAAGGACACTTTTTTACTGGGCAAGGTCGTTTTTTGGACGAAACGACCTTGCCCAGTAAAAAAATGACCTTGCACAGTAAAAAAATGACCTTGCCCAGTAAAAAATGACCTTGCCCAGTAAAAAAAGGACCTTGCCCCGTAACTCCTTAACACTTAAATTATATATTTTAAAGAGAGGTTTAGGGTTTAGGGTTTAGGGTTTAGGGTTTAGGGTTTAGGGTTTAGGGTTTAGGGTTTAGGGTTTGCTGTGATAGGGCGTAGATGCTGTGAAGGTTAGGTTGCGGAACAAGCTCGAAAGCTTCGTGAGGTGCGAAGAGCAGCTTTGGCCCGATTGTGGAGGGCCGGCCGTCTAACACTTTTCTCCCACCCCACGCCGTCCAAGAGGGCAAAGCCACCCAAACCTTCAGGCCTAAACTCAGACAACAGTCCACTTCTAAAAACTTATTCAGTTAATTGCAGGAGGTCTCGAAGGGCAGGGTCGGACCAGGCAGCCCAGGGCCCGGGGAAGCATAGACCCTAAACCCTAAACCCTAAGCCCTTAACCCTAAACCCTAAACCCTTAAACTCTGAAACCCTTAAACCTTGAACTCTTGTCTGGGCGCCCTGGACAGTGATGGGCAGTCCGCACCCAAATTACTTCGCCGAGAGTCAGTCGCCCAAGGGCGACCAAGGAAGATGACTAGGACTAGGACTACTTAGGAATTCGGGTTTATTGGTTAGGGTTTAGGGTTTAGGGTTTAGGGTCTAGGGTTTAGGGTTTAGGGTTTAGGGTTTAGGGTTTAGGGTTGAGGGTTGAGGGTTGAGGGTTTGGGGTTTAGGGTTTAGGGTGCAGGGGTGTAGGGTTTAGGGGTTTAGGGTTTAGGAATTAGGGTTTCGGGTTGATTTAAGGCTCAAGTTACCCGGACTTCCAGAAAAGATTGCGCGGCTTGATACCCGGAACCCCGACAGCCTGGACCGCAGTCAACGCTAAACATGCAAAACCTTTCAACCCTATGCTGTCGGGTTCCCAGGTTATGCAGTTTAAGCGCTTAGGAGGCAAATCGGCTCCTCGTCTAGGGGTTCGGACTTTCGTAGCTTCAGGGCTTTCTATGAACCCTAAACAAAAAGCACCCGAAGCTAAAAAAACCCTAAACCCTAAACCCTTAACCCTATACCCCAAACCCTAAAGACCCCAAACCCTACACTCTCAACCCTAAACACCCTTAACCCTAAAAACCCTTAACCCTAAACCCTAAACCCTGAACCCTAAACCCTAAACCCTAAAGACCCTAAAGTGGGTTCTAGACTCTCCGGAAGCTAAGGAAGGGTCTGCTTCCGGCAAAGAGCCCGGGTGGAGGTGCTCACAGAAAGGGGTTCAGGGTTCAGGGTTTAGGGTTGAGGGTTTGGTGTTTAGGGTTTAGGGTTTAGGGTTTAGGGTTTAGGGTTTAGGGTTTAGGGTTTAGGGTTTAGGATTAGGGCTTAGGGCTTAGGGCTTAGGGCTTCGGGCTTAGGGCGTAGGGCTTAGGGCTTAGGGTTAGGGCTTAGGGTTTAGGGTTTGGGTACTAGGGTACTGGGGGTGGCTGGGCGGGGCGATTCAAGGGAGGGTTTTGGGTTTAGGTTGAAGGCTTCGGGTACCCTAAACCCTAAACCCTAAGCCTGAAACCCTAAACCCTAAACCCTAATTAAGAACCGCTGAAGAAGAGAAGTCGGTTCCATGGCAGCCACACTTGACCCCGGCACATGCCTCGCTGGCTCCTCGCCGTCAGTTCGGCGTGGTCGGCAAGCTTCGGCGCAATCAGCAGCAGCATGAGTCAACGTTTGGCAGGTTTAGGGTTTAGGGTTTAGGGTGCAGGGTGAAGAAACTGAAGGGCTGTTAGGGTCAAAGTGTCCCAAAACCTACCCTGAACCTTCAAGCTGTTGAATCCCACTCCCAACAGTTGACGCGGCTGTGGCTGGGACGTCGGCTGCGGAAGGCGGGTGCTTTTGGGCCTGCCCGTTATGTGTCCTGGAGTTAGGGGCTTCCCTAAATCCTGAACCCTAAAAAATATATCCCGAACCGCAAAGCCCAAAACCCAAATCCCTAAACACTGAACCCTGAACACTAAGCCCTAAACCCTAAACCGCACCGGTTCGGGGGCGTTTAGGCGCTTTGGGGCTGATAAGTTTCTAGTTCGAGTTCTGGGTTCAGGGATCCTAGAAGCTTGCTGTCTCTAAGGCCCAAACCCTACACCCCAGTTTAGGTTTTAGGGTTTAGGGTTTAGGGTTTAGGGTTTAGGGTTTAGGGTTTAGGGTTTAGGGTTTAGGGTTTAGGGTTTAGGGTTTAGTAAGTTCCTTAAACCCTATGAACCTAGCACCCCCCGCCAAGGGACCATGCTTGAGAGAGCTGACTGAACCCTAAACCTTAAACCCTAAACCCTGAACCCTGAATCCTAAACCCTAAACCCTAAACCCTAAACCCTAAACCCTAAACCCTAAGCCCTAAACCCTAAACCCTAGTAAGCCCAATTAAAACCCCAAGCCGCCCGTGAAGCAATCCTCCCAAATGCCTCAGTCAGGGCTGGCTGTGGCAAGAGCTGCGATGTAGGGTTTAGGGTTTAGGGTTTAGGGTTTAGGGTTTAGGGTTTAGTAGTTTAGGGTTTAGGGTTTAGGGTTTAGGGCTTGGGGTTACGGGTGCAGGCTTGTTTCTTGGGGATGCGCCTTGAGCCCTAAGCTCCCTAAACTTTAACCCCTCAACCCTCTAGCCCAAACCCTAAACTCTAAACCCTAAACCGTAAACCCTAAACCCTAAACCCTAAACCCTAAACCCGAAACCCTAATAACCCTAAAACCTAAACCCTCAATGGCAGGGGCGCATTCCGAGATGCAGTGCGAAGTGGCCTCGAGCTCGCAGGTAGGTGTGAGCGGAAGTTGACAGGGCTTTTGCGGTTTAATGATAGAGGGCCCTAAACCCTACACCCTAAACCCTTAACGCTGAAACCCTAAACCCTAAACCCTAAACCCTAAACCCTAAACCCTAAACCCTAAACCCTAAACCCTAAACCCTAAACCCTAAACCCTAAACCCTAAACCTTAAACCCCAAACCCTAAACCTTAGCCCAGGGCTTGAGGGCTTAGCGTTGTAGGGTTTAGGGTTTAGGGTTTAGGGTTTAGGGTTTAGTATTGGCTCAAGTGTTTGAAGGTACTGAGCAGCCTAAACCCTAAGCCGAGCCCCTCGTTGTAAGATTGATTGGGGGGTGTATGAAAATAAGGGGCCCCTAGTATAGACCCCCCAAATAGTAGGATTCCCTTGGAATACAGACCCCAATAAGATACCCCTAATTTCGGAAACCCCGATTTAAACTAGGGAACCAAGAGTTCAGTGTGGGGTCTAAGGGTTGCAGGCTTGAGGATAAGGCCTGGCCATTGAGAAAGTAACATTTAACGCTTCAGCATTGCCTGACTCAAGATTTAGGGTCCGGGCTTGGGGGGGTGGAATTGGGGGGTTTAGGGTGTGCTTGTGAGTTGCGTTCTGCCAATGGGTCTAGGAACCCTGTACCCTAAACCCTAAACCCTAAACCCCAAACCCTAAACCCCAAACCCTAAACCCTAAACCCCAAACCCTAAATAGATCCTCTCAAGTCTGAAGTCGAACTCTCAGCCGACCATCCCGTAGCCATTCAACGGCCCGGATGTTGCCCGATTGCAAGAGATGGTGGCGTCTGATGCGACCCGGCTTTCTGTTGACAAACTCTAAACTTGCCCTAAACCCTAAACCCTAAACCCTAAACCCCAAACCCTAAACCCCAAACCCTAAACAACCCTCCAAAACCCCTCAATGAAGGAATCTACCCTATTGCATACCAAGGATCATAATGATGAGTGCGTGTATATTCCTTAAATTAAGGGGTTTTGGGAGATCTGGGAACTGACCCTAAACCCTCAACAACCCCACATCGCAAGCCCTGAGCCCTCGACCCTGAGCCCCACACCCCAAGCCCTAAAAAGGTTTGGGGTTTAGGGTTCAGGGTTTAGGGTTTAGGGTGCAGCTTTGAAAGGGTTTAGGGCTTGGGGTTTAGGGTTTAGGGTTTAGGGTTAGGGGTCAGGGTTTAGGGTTGTTAAGGAACTTAAATGGTTAAGTTGAAGAGGTTGGAGTGGAGGGGGCGTTGCTGTGAAGACACTCGAACGAAGCTACCACCCTAGCCCTCAACCGTAAAACGCGGAACCTCCTAAACTCCTGAATCCCAAACCCCCTAAACTCCTGAACCCCAAGCCCTAGCTAAACCAAACCCGAAACCCGAAACCCGAAACACTAAACCCTAAACCCATAAACACCTAAAGCCCAAGCCTTTCTCTGAGGGGACGGTGCTCTCACTCAAGCTGGCCAAGCCGCTGCGCGAGCGCACGCGCAAACTTCGGCAGGCCGGATCCGGTTTAGGGTTTAGGGTTTAGGGTTTCGGGTTTAGGGTTTAGGGTTTAGGGTTTAGCGTTTAGGGTTTAGAGGTTAGGGTTTAGGGATGTAGGAATTGCAGGGCTTACAGGGCTTAGGGGCTTTAGGTGCTTAGCCAGGGGCGTTCGGGGCTTTAGGGGCTTTAGGAGCTCTAGGGGCTTCGGGATGTTGAGGGTTCGAGGGTTTACTGTAGGGTTTAGGGTTCAGGGTTTAAGGTTTAGGGTTTAGGGTTTAGGGAAGTTCAGGGTTTCAGGAATTGAGAGGTTCAGGAGTTTTAGGGGTCTAAGAGCTTGAGTGAGCGCAGGAGCTGGCAAAGGATACCAAGAAGGAGCCGGAGAAAGGCACAGTGAAGGTGAAGAAGGAAATAAAGGCAGAGGTCATGGAGGCGGCAGCATGCTTGTCTCCTCGTGAATAGGTGTTGGGAGAGTTGGGGATGCTTTTTGGGATTTGGGGTCTTGCCTGGCTGCAGCTGGAACGTGAGATTCGGGAGTCTGTAGCAAGCGTCACCCAAAACCAGTCGAGCCTAGTAAAGACTGTGATGTGCAATGTGGACAGGAGACGACAATGAGGGTGACGGGTTTAGGGTTTAGGGTTTAGGGTTTAGGAGGAGAGCGAACCGCAGAACGTAAAGGAGGTGAAAAAAGAGTTGAGGGAGCATGCGAAGGAGGAAGTGGAGGATGACGTGGAAGAAGAGCTGATGGGGGACGTGAAGCAAGTGAAGATAGAGGTGAAGGAAGAGGTGATAGAGGAGGGTGCTTCAAGAACGAGCAAGCTAAACCCTAAGCCCCCAAACCCTAAATCCTAAACCCTAAACTTGGACTTGCTGTTAACAGCATCACCCGTAGGTTTGCTGGTCATTGGGCCCTAATCCTCGAACCTTGCACTGAATGCTCACGAGGTTATATGAAGGGTTTAGGGTTTAGGGTTTAGTGTGTAGGGTTTACGGTTTGAGAGCCCCATGCCGTTTGTTGTGTGCGTTGATGGCAACGGTAACGCCTGTTTGGAATGCCTTTTTGCAAGACCTGCTACCCGCATTACTCGGATGCGCGAGCCTTCTCTCGAGGAGATGGTGCCAGAGATCAAAAACGAGGCAAAGCAAGAAGTGAAGCGTGAGATCAAGCGGGAGGCTGCCCGCCAGTCTGCGTCGTGTAGCCAAGTGAGCACCAGAGTCGTTCTGAGCCACATCTGGGTTTTGCTAGCCTCGTTCTTCGACATCAGCTTAAACAGCCAATTCCGCAATATGGGCCCAGGAACCGGGAAGAGACATAGTGAGTTGTTTGCTTTGAGGTCTTGTGGGCTAGCAGCAGTTGAGGACACATAGTGGAAGCATAAACGTGAACCTGACAGAGAAATCCACACCACCACTGAAAGTTCCGGGATGCAGAGAAGTTTGTTTCAGGACCTCAAATGGAAGAGCCAGACGCTGCTCGGCTTTGTGACGTCTGGGATTCAACCGGCTAAACCCTAAACCCTAAACCCTAGACCCTAGACCCTAAACCCTAGAACCTAAAGCCTAAACCCTAAACCCTAAACTTCAGGTCGCGGCTTGTAGGTTGAACTTGGCAGTTCTTCTGAGACTCACCGGACGTTTTTCGACAGTGGTTGCTGCGTCTGGGCTGTCCGAAAGCCGGAAGGTAGTAAGGTTTAAGGTATAGGGTCTAGGGTCTAGGGTTTAGGGTTTAGCGTTAATTCCGAGAGGACAAGTGAGAGTTCCACTCGAAGCCGCAAACCCCAAGCCGTTGCACACTACAAGGCGTCCTCCAGTCCCTCCTGAACCCTAAAACCTGCACCCTCAACCCTCAACCCTCAACCCTAAGCCCTAAACCCTAAACCCCTAAACCCTACGTAAACCCTGAACATCCCTAAACCCTAAACCCTAAACCCCTAAACCCTACGTAAACCCTGAACATCCCTAAACCCTAAACCCTAAACCCTAAACCCTAAACCCTAAACCCTAAACCCTAAACTCTAAACCCTAAACCCTAAACCTAAGCCCTAAACCCTAGACCCTAAACCTTGAACCCATAGTCGGGATCCGTCCAAGGCTTCGCCGGTAGGCTAATCATGTGCACCGTGCACTGCAAAAGCTCGCTCAGGACCGGAGTGAAGCGCGAGCGTGTGGAGGAAGCTCAGCACACGTGCTTGGTCAAGCAGGAAGAAGCTGTGTCGGTTCGTCCCAGCAAGAGGCGCCGCATCAGTCACAAGAGGCCTGACATCTCACCTCTATCGTTTGAGTCACGACTGCCAGAGTGGGCCGAGAAATGCCTGGCATTTCAAAGCTCTGGCAAGACGTGGCTGCCCACGAAGCCTTGCTGCCCGGCCAGCCCGTTTCTCGGAGTTGCAGCTGCGCCGTGGGAAGGACGCCTGGAGGACCAGGCAACAACGGCTTGCGTGCAGCGCCTCAGCAAGGCGCAGGTCTGCGAGTTCCGGGACTTCTTCCACGAGAACCCGCACCATGCCCTCTTCAATGATTGCGGCAAGGACTCCAGTAGGTCAGGGCTGGTGGCGAAGGCGAACTGTGCCAAACCTAAGCACTTGCAGGATCCAGCTGCGAAGCAGCACCGCGCAGCCGAGATGATGAAGATGTGGCCGTGGATGCGCGACCTTCCGACGCGAGCGTGGGCCGGGCACGGCTGGCTGGTGGAGGAGGATGGCATGCGCAGGCTCTCGCCCACGGGCGGCGGCTCCGCCATGAAGGGTCTCGAGATCTTCGAGGCCTTCGGCACCGTGAAGGAAAGCCAGGAAGCCCCCGGCACCTCGGCTCCGAGCAGCTCCGGGGCCGCCGGCCAGGTCATTACGAAAAGCTTCCGCGGCCTGGAGCGCCAGAGCGGGGTGCCAAACATCAGCTGGCAAATAACAAAGGGGACGTGGGTAATTGGGTGGCAGGAAGCCGGCAAGCGGAAGCAGCTCAACTTCCCCATCTCCAAGCACATGAAGGAGGGCCTCTCAGAGGACGAGGCGGTGGCGGCCGCGCTGGAGGAGGCCAAGGCGCACCGCGAGGAGCTGGTGCGCCAGGGCAAGCTGAAGCCCCCGAAGCCCGTCACCGCCAAAGCCTCCGGGTCCAGGGTAAGGGGCGTCCGTTCCCATGCAAGCGGAAACTTTCAGGTGCGAATCACCAATCCCCGCACCAAGAAGCTAGACTTCGGGGGCACCTTCAAGACGCTGGCGGAGGCCGAGGCCAAGGCGCAGGAGATGGCCGAGAACTTGGGGACTAAATGAACCCTAAAAGGGTTTATGGTTCATATTACCTTAATAGGAATTATAGTACTCAGGGTATAAGGAGAAGCACGAGCAGGTGGTGCCGGTGGACCGGCTCTCCGAGGGCACTTCGAGCCGCTCGGGCCGCAGCTGGGAGTGAAGTGGAACCGTGGAGAGAAGGCCTGGCATGCAAAATGCGCTGTGGGAGGGAAGCAAAGGCACATGAGATTCCGGCCCAAGGACTTCTCGGAGAGGGAGGTGGAGAAGGGCTGGAAGCAGGCGGTGGCCTGGCGCAAGTTTCAGGAGAAGGAGAAGGAGAGGGAGCGGGCTGAGCGAGCTCAACAGCGCTGAAGAGCGCGGAGGGGAGTCCTCCTGACCGGAATCTGGGCCGCCACTTGTGTAGCAGGTCGAGGGGCAGTCTTACACTTCTCTCTGACTAGTGCCTGGCGCATGCTGGTGCCACTATGAAGTGTGCACTGAGCTAGAATGACAGAATGACCTGCTGACACTCAACCCTCGACCCTAAACCTCCTAATTAAACCCCCTAAACCCGAAACCCTAAACCCGGAGCTCCCTTAATTTCTTTCGGCTTTGGACTATAGAAGCCTTGCTGGGCGAGGCTGAGCCGTAGGGACTTGCTTTGGTGGTGACATCTGACGTTGGCAAGTCGACAAAGAGGGATTCGGGTTTAGGGTTTTAGGGTTTAGGGTTCAGGGTTCAGGGTTCAGGGTTTAGGGTCTAGGGCTTAGGGCTTAGGGTTTAGGGCTTAGGGTTTAGGGTTTGGGGTTTTAGGGTTTAGGGTTTAGGGTTCAGGGTTTAGGGTTTAGGGTTTAGGGTTTAGGGCTGCAAGCCCCAAATTCTGACCTCAACCCCTAAACCCCAAACCCTATACCCTATATACAAAAGTCCTCAACCGGCCTACAATCCTAAGCCCCCCTAAGCAACCCAAAAGGGCCTAAACATCTTAAGCCCCTCCCCAGTCCCTAAGCCCTAAACCCCTAAACCCCCTGAACCGTATAAATCCTAAGCTCCAAGCTCATAAACTCTGAGCCCTAAACCCTAAACCCTAAACCCTAAACCCTAAACCCTAAACCCTAAACCCTAAACCCTAAACCCTAAATCTTAAACCCTAAACCCTAAACCCCTAAGCCCTGAACCCATTGAACTCCTGAACGGCCCTGCCATCCTAAACCTTTGCGTGAGGATCTGGGCTCCCCAGGACGCCTATAGCTTGAACCCTAAACCCCAAACCCCAAACCCCAAACCCCAAACCCCAAACCCCAAACCCCAAACCCTAAACCCTAGAACCTTAAGCCCCTTAAGCCCCAGACATCCTAAGCTCTAAACAAGCCCTAAAACCACTAAGCCACTTAACAACCCTAAACCCTAAACCCTAAACCCTAAACCCTAAACCCCAAACCCCAAACCCCAAACCCCAAACCCTAAACCCTAAACCCTAAACCCTAAACCCTAAACCCTAAACCCTAACCCTAACCCCCCCCCCCCCCCCCCCCCCCCAAACTTTAGCACGTACTCGTAGGTAACTCAGCACGCTTGCGGTATTTATCGCCTCACGCATGGCGACTGATGGTGCCTTCGACCACACCCTAAACCACTCAACACTAAACCCCAAACCACGAAACGACTAAACCACTACACCCTACACCCCAAACCCTAAACCACTACACCCTGAACCCTAAAGCCCAAACCCTAAACCCTAAACCCTCAGTCCTAAACCCTAAACCCTAAACCCTAAACCCTAAACCCTGAACCCTGAACCCTGAACCCTAAACCCCAAGAACTGGTGAGAGAGTCCCCTCCGCCAGGTGAAGGCAGCGGACTCCCTGCCCGCTGCGGCGCTCCAGGCTCCCCGCGTTCTTAGGGTTTAGGGTGGGTTTGGGGTTTGGGGTTTGGGGTTTGGGGCTTGGGGTTTAGGGTTTAGGGTTTAGGGTTTAGGGTTTAGGGTTGAGGGTGTAAGGTTACGGGTTTACGGGTTTACGGGTTTACGGGTTTACGGGTTTACGGGTTTACGGGTTTACGGGTTTACGGGTTTACGGGTTTACGGGTTTACGGGTTTACGGGTTTACGGGTTTACGGGTTTACGGGTTTACGGGTTTATGGGTTTACGGGTTTACGGGTTTACGGGTTTACGGGTTTACGGGTTTACGGGTTTACGGGTTTACGGGTTTACGGGTTTACGGGTTTACGGGTTTACGGGTTTACGGGTTTACGGGTTTACGGGTTTACGGGTTTACGGGTTTACGGGTTTAAGGGTTTACGGGTTTACGGGTTTACGGGTTTACGGGTTTACGGGTTTACGGGTTTACGGGTTTACGGGTTTACGGGTTTACGGGTTTACGGGTTTACGGGTTTACGGGTTTACGGGTTTACGGGTTTACGGGTTTACGGGTTTACGGGTTTACGGGTTTATGGGTAAGGGCATTACGCTTTCTTTGTTTTTTGTTGCTTAGGGCCTTAAGGTTGTTTGTTGTTGTTTAAGGGCTCTTGGGTGGTCTTCAACGGTTGCTAGGGTTTTAGGTAGGGGCAGGTGTAGGTGTAGGTGTAGGCGTCGGCGTCGGCGTCGGCGTCGGCGTCGGCGTCGGCGTCGGCGTAGGCGTAGGCGTAGGTGTTGTGTGTGTGCGTGTGTCTGAGTGCGTGAGTGAGTGTGTGTAGGGTTTGAGGGTTGTGGGTTGTAGGGTGTTGGGTACGATGGCTTAGGCTCTCAGGGGTTTGAGGGGTTTGAGGGGTTTGAGGAGTTTGAGGGTTTGAGGGTTTGAGGGTTTGAGGGTTCGAGGGTTCGAGGGTTTGAGGGTTTGAGGGTTTGAGGGTTTGGGGCTTGAGGGTTTGGGGGCTTGAGGGTTTGAGGGTTTTGAGGGTTTTGAGCTACGGGTGTTAGAGAGCTTGCTCAGGCAGTTACGTGCAGGGTTTTAGATAGAGGCTTTCGAGTGTCAGTAGGTTGTTTAGGCTGGCTTAGGGTGTTTGAGGATCTCCCCCTAGACCATCATCCCAATCCCACAATTCCCTTCAAACAAAAACCCTAAAACCCTAACCCCCAAACCCTAAACCCTAAAGCCTAAACCCTAAACCCTAAACCCTAAACCCTAAACCCTAAAGGCAGCCCTGGGTCTGACGGCCCCTGCGGCCAAGCGCCTGGCGGCGCAGCTCCGGGCGCTGCCCAAAGCCGAGCTGAAGAGGCTCGGGGTTTGGGGTTTAGGGGTTTAGGGTTTAGGGTTTAGGGTTTAGGGTTTAGGGTTTAGGGTTTAGGGTTTAGGGTTTAGGGTTTAGGGTTTAGGGTTTAGGGTTTAGGGTTCAGCAGCTCCGGATCGAGCAGTTTTATGGTAAAGTCTATTTACGGCTCTGATATAACACCCACCCACCCAGAGAATCCCATAGCATTGAGAAAAATATAAGTATCCTCCAATCATCTCAGAATCAAAGGCTTAAACGAACGGACACAACAAACACACTTCATAGTTTTAGCTTCATATTCTTGCCATTGCATCTCTGCGTTAGCCTCCCCAGGCCGTAAACTCCGGGCAGTGAGGCCCACCTGAAACCCTAAACGCCAGGCCTTGATGCCCTGATATCCTAACGCCAGGCCTTGAGGCCCTGAAACCCTAAACCCCACCTAAACCCCAGATTAGGGGCCTTAAACCACGCATTCTGAGCCTTAAACCACGGGCCTTAAACCATGAATTATGGGCCTTGAACCACGAATTATGGGCCTTAAACCACGAGCCTTAAACCATTAACCCACGAATTGTGGGCCTTAAACCACGAATTCCGGGCCTTAAACCACGAATTCTGGGCCTTAAACCACGAATTCTGGGCCTTAAACCACGAATTCTGGGCCTCTGGGCCTTAAGCCCTGGGCCTTAAACCACGAAATATGAAAGAGAGGTTCATCATCTCAAGTCGGAGCATTCACTAGTCAAGCAGCTGAAGCGTTATAAGAAACCCACCCACCCAAGAAACTCATAACATTGAGAAAATATAAAGTTCATTCAATACCTTCCCAGTAGGCTTAAAGCTCACAGTCCAGTGGACCCAAAACCCGAAATCTAAGACCCACAGCAGATCCTCTACCCAAGCCTTAAATCCTATGCTTGAGGCCTTGAAACCCTAAACCCCGCCTTGAGGCCTTGAAACCCAAAACCCCGGCCTTGAGGCCTTGAAAACCTAAACCCCGGCCTTGGCCTTGAAAACCTAAACCCCGGCCTTGAGGCCTTGAAACCCTAAACCCCGGCCTTGAGGCCTTGAAACCCTAAACCCCGGCCTTGAGGCCTTGAAACCCTAAACCCCAAGAGCTTTTGAACGTGCAGGGCGCTGGAAGTGTTAAGATTTACAGGGCTGGGGGACTTAGGACTTACAGGCAAAACCCTAAACCCTAAAACCTGAACTTCAAACCCTAAACCCGAAACCCTAAACCCGAAACCCTAAACCCCAAACCCCAAACCCCAAACCCCAAACCCTAAACCCTAAACCCTAAACCCTAAACCCTAAACCCTAAACCCTGAACCCTAAACCCTAAACCCTAAACTCTAAACCCCCCCCCCCTCTCTCCCAGGCGTCTCCGTGTGCTCCAGGGCCCGACCGGCGCGGAGGAAGAGCCCCCAAGGAGCAGCGGAGCGTCGGAAGTGCGCGGGTTTCAGGGGGGGTGTAGGGCTAGGGTTTAGGGTTTGGGGTTTGGGGTTTAGGGTTTAGGGTTTAGGGTTCAGGGTTTAGGTTGAGGGTTCCGGTTTCAGGGTTTGGGGATTCTCCCAATGACCAGCCCCGAACAGGTCACACCATGGCCCTGCAGCAGCTTCACTGAACCGTTCCGAAGCACTCCGTCTATATCTTATATTGGTTGGTGGTCTCTTTAACCAGGGTTTCTGCTTTATAAGGCATATATTCGGGGTCTTACTAGGGTATCTAGGGGCTATATTAAGGTACAAGAGTAACAGTAGTAACAGATAAAGAGGCCACCGGCCTTTATATTCTATCTCCCCCAAGCAAAGATCCACACTAAACCCGAACGC